GAAACAACTCAACCACTTTGTATATTTATAAGCCAAAGAGATAAAAGATAGACAGAGAGATAAGAGAGACTCTGTGTAATCCTCAAAGACAAACAAGATTATGTTACCCTCAAGAAAAACTAAGAGAGTTCTCTCCGGTGACTTTACTCCGGGAAGAAAACGCCGGCGATGTGTTGTTCCTTCTTCTGTTTCTCCGGCGCCGGAACACTCAACCGGAGCCGATTTGCTAGATTCAATTCCCGACGATCTTGTTGTTTCTATACTTTGTAAACTTGGGTCTACTTCACGATGTCCTGCTGATTTCATCAACGTTTTGATGACGTAAGCTTTTTCCAGTTATCTCTTGTCGGTTTTCTTACACAAGAGTTGGTTCTTGTCTCTCTAATTTTGATTGTGTTTTCTTTTGGGGAACAGATGTAAGAGATTAAAAGGATTAGCTATGAATCCTCTTGTCTTGTCGAGATTATCTTCTAAAGCTATCGCTGTTAAAGCTCATAATTGGTCGGAATATTCTCACCGGTTTTTAAAACGGTGTGTCGACGCCGGAAGTCTTGAAGCTTGTTACACTCTAGGAATGGTAAGTTTCTAAATTCATTTTATTTCATTGTCTCTGAAATTGTTAAGTTTCTTAAATTTTGATATTTATTTCCATTTTCGTGTAGATTCGGTTTTATTGTTTACAAAACAGAGGAAACGGCGCGTCGTTAATGGCTAAAGCCGCGATTAGTTCTCACGCGCCGGCGTTATATTCCTTAGCGGTGATTCAGTTCAACGGAAGCGGTGGTTCAAAGAACGATAAAGATCTTCGAGCCGGTGTTGCTTTATGTGCTCGTGCGGCTTTTCTTGGACACGTCGACGCGCTTCGTGAGCTTGGTCACTGTCTTCAAGATGGTTATGGAGTTCCTCAAAACGTCTCTGAAGGTCGGAGGTTTTTAGTTCAAGCCAACGCTCGTGAACTCGCCGCCGTTTTATCTTCCGGTATCCAAGCTAGGTCAACGTGGCTTTCTTTATCACAGCCACCTCAGGTTCCTAACCATGGTCAGTCTTGTCCTTTACTTAGCGATTTTGGATGTAATGTACCGGCACCGGAAACACATCCGGCGAATAGGTTTTTAGCGGATTGGTTCGCCGTACGCGGCGGAGATTGTCCCGGAGATGGGTTGAGATTATGTTCACACGCTGGATGTGGACGACCGGAGACGAGGAAGCATGAGTTTAGGAGGTGTTCTGTTTGTGGCGTTGTGAATTATTGTTCACGCGCTTGTCAAGCTTTAGATTGGAAACTCCGGCATAAAATGGATTGTGCTCCGGTGGAACGGTGGCTAGAGGAAGGTGACGGTGGAGAAGGTAACGTTCAGATTGACGGAAATGGTAACGGTGATAATGTTTTGCTTCCAATGAGTTAACGGCAATGTAACGGCTGCTTTGAAATAGTAAAAAAGAACGACGACAGATGAGGTAAACGGAAGCTAGTTTCGTTTTTTTTTTTTTTGCTATTAGTGGAAATGATTAGGAGAAAAATTATTTCTATCGAGTAGAGTAATTTTTGTAATCCCAATCTATTGTAAAGAAGAGTTATAAAATGAACGGCTTTTATTTTTCATGTTAAAAATCTTAATTTAGTTTTATATACTTTGCATCTTATCTTTGTCGGAGGATCTATAAATTTCTTTATTCTTCTTTTTTTTTGGCAAATTTTCTTCTTATAAAAACATTCGAATTTTGTTGATTTTGAGTTTGGTTTTGCTAGTTCTTTTATTATCCCAAATAGTTGAGGATAAGGTTTTGACTCGTATCTTGAGTGTTGAGTTTTTCTTGTTTCGCCTTAGGTTTCCCTCGTGGTTTGCATAATGTCCCTACACCATTTTGAATTCAATCATCTTGCGTTCTTATATCATTGTCATTGTCCCCCTTTAGACATCTATGATTGTCTGACTATTGCGAAGAATGGTCTTCGTATGATCTTAGTCACTTGAAAAGTTAGGCACAATGGCGAGAATTAGCAATGATATTGACAACCATTACTCCAACATCTTCATGATCGAGGTTGCAATTTCCGGCAACATGTTCTACGGTGTTGTTTGCAAATTATACTTCTGCATTCACATACTCAATCATTTTCTATCCTAAACTCCTTTAAAGTTTTAAGGCAATGGTGCTCACACTTTACTTAAGATCGGATAGAGCTTCCATATATGTGTCACCTATAAGGCATCTTATTGTGAAAGTTCCCCGATCTTCAAGCCTTGGAGGCATACTTCTTTGACCCGAGGCAAAGTGTGCGTTCGTAGAAATATGTAATGTCTTTCTCAGGGCTGAGGTCCATGAACACTTCTAGTCTTCTAGATCATTATTCGTGTCTCCTTTCTCAATCACCTCCAAAGTTTCTCTTTTCTTTCACCTTCTTACCTAGTAAGTATTAGTACAAGGTGGTAATCATCCCATGCGAGGTTATCTTCACAAATGAAACTAGCGAATCTCGAGTTCCAAGCATGCCTCCTGATAATTGAATGGGTTAACTTCTGTTGATGGTGGTGAGTCTGGTGACTCGTCTTCATTACGAGCAACCTATTTCCCTTGTTTCCTTAAAGGTTTATTACGCTTGCAACCGTTGGTCAAGTTTTCTTAAAGAATGTTAGTGTTCTCCTTTTTTTTCCGATTGTTCTTGTTATCAATCTAATTAATGGTCAAGACTCAAGATCAAACAAAAACGAGAATGTTAGCAAAAGGGATTAGAAAATAATTAGGAGTTAGTAGAAATTAACGGCTAGTAAAGTATAGGCAAATAATTGACAGGGAATTAAGTAAGTTAATAAAAAATATTTTGTTAATATTTGTATATAGAACATTCAATTACACCTTTTAATGAACTTTCGTAGATATTGAAACTAACCTAGTTATCTAGATGGTTGGCAATTTGACCTAACAAATTTGAGGAGTTACTACTACTCATTATGGATATTTTGACCACACCTAATTCAAAGGGTTTGGAGTTTGGACATACTAAATCCGCACGACAATGATTTATAAACACATGAACGTGACTTGATAATTGAGATTTAGCTTTCAAGGTAAAGTTGTATCTTAAAATTAAATATTGTCGATACTCATACCAGCAGCAGGCAACAGTTCATAATTAAAATAATTAGTGATTAAATTATAGTAAAAATTTAAGATTAATGGGTGACAAAGCATCATGGGGTGTGCAATCTATTAGCTTTCTTTTTCTTCATGTAATTCGTGCCTTTTCTTTTTTCCTTTTTTCGTAATTCAATTAGGTAGACCGGGAAAACCTCACTGCAAATCAAAAATGGATTAACAGAAAGTTAAATTTCTGATTTTTAAATAAATTATCGTGGACCCTGTTTGATACGTTATTGTCTCCACAACCACAATATTAGCTGACAAACACAAATGTTTTATTTTTTTATGGACCCATCATCATTGGTTTACAATTTGCTTTCAAATCATTATTGCATATATACTATACTTTTACCACTAAACAAGGGAACCAAGAACACAATTTTTTTTAATAGATTTTAAAATGTTTCTTTTGTATACATAATTCAATCTTTAAAGTTTGTATTTGTAGAGTATATGTTTGTATTCAGACAAAGTTTGAACATAAGATCATACATTTACAAGGATCATTTTTGATTGCATATCTTATGATTTTATTGTCAGAAAACATTAGAGGGAAAAAGCGCAAATTAGGGAACATAGAGGAGTGTCTTAGTGGGAGAGAATGAGGAATTTTGAGGGGAGTGGGATTACAAGAAAAACTTTAGACCCACCCACAAAGCATTTTTAATCAAATAGTCTTTGAGAAACAAAATAAAGTGTAAAATATAAAAGAATAAAGCAATGCTACTAAAATAAAGGAATAGTTTAACTTAACTAGTTTATATTTCAATTGGTCACAACTGAACGAATAATGATGAACATAACTACATAGGTAACGGAATTAGTAGAGCAAGTATCAAATATTCAAGTATGCTTAGGGTGGAATAAACACAACAAATGGAACAAAAAATGTGAAAGACTATAATAAAAATCAAATGGTGAGTAAAACTATGTTTCAGAACTGGTCGAGCTATTTAACGCCCTATGATTTATGCGAATGGAGTCGCGATGTGAATAATTTAGCTTAAACTAATCAATAGCGATATGTCTAGAGTACTCTCCAAAGGCTTCTTTTCATAAAACCAATGTTCTTGAAGACAAATTATGTTTTGGACCAACAAACTTGCATTAGTTTAATTAATTATAATGAATTTACTGGTTTAGCCGATGTCACAAAAATAAAATTAAGTTACTGATTTAGTCGGTATAAAATTTTCTAAATCACCTACCAATATTGACTCATTTAAAGTAGCTTCTAGTTCTTCTATTGCAATCAATCAAAAATTCTCTTGGATCTATCTGTTCATTTACCTTTTTTGTGGGGGTCAGAAAATAAATGTATCAGCTTAATTGAACTTTGAACGAATAAAAGTAGATTAATGGTTGGGGATGTGCCTTTAGCCAAGTGGTTAAATCCATTTGACTCCACCTTTCTCACTGGAGTTCGACTTCACTAAATCGTGTTACCCCCGTATAGTAGAAATTGACTATGAATCGGATTTTGTCGATCCAAAGATGTAAAAAAAAAAAATTAATGGTGAGAGTGGGGTACTACAAAGAGGCCCAGCCCATTTATTGCTAGTTGTTAGAATTGCCAGCTTTTTAGTTCAAATAATACTTTTTGTGTGTATAGTTGTGGGCCTTGTGGCTAGTGGTCACTCTTTTGACAGCTGAATCAGTTCGGTCAAATTTTGATCACTGCATTGCGTAAAGGGAGACATAAACCGTGTGCCGTTTTTGTAACATAAAAACGTCTAGTTTCCTCATTCTAAGTACACAACTACACGCAGTTTCTGTATCTATCAGATTTTTGTTTTCTTCTTCATCATCATCACTCGCTCTGCGCTGCGTTCAAATCAGAACTCTCTGACCATCCCATAGCAAAAAGCTTCCGCGATCTTCATCATCTGGTTTCGAATCATAAGGTAAGTTCCATTTCAATTTCAAAATGGTTTTGTGTCGATCTCTAAGTAGATCGTCTTAGGGTTCGTGTCGATCCTCGTCAGAGAATGATGCACGATAATTGTTCTAATGTATAGAAACTTAACCTAGATCTAGATTTGGGACCGAATTTCACTGTGATGTTTTTAGGTCAGAGAACTCAATTTATGGAAATCAATGCGTCGATTTGATAGAAACCCTAATTTTTCTAGGTGAAATCGATTGTGAAACGAGATGGGTTTCGTAATTTTAGGTCACAGAGCCCAATTTATAGTTTCGATGCTTCAATTTGATATATATAAAAAAACAATTTTGGGGTGAATTCTATTTGTGTTTTTTTAATTTGTAGTGGAGATGGGTTTCATTATGGAGTTCGCGGAGAATTTGGTGCTAAGGTTAATGGAGAATCCAGAGGAGAGAGACAGGAAAGCGAGGGAGCACATATATGAGATGCATGAGAGGTGCAAGAAGATTAAGGAGATGTGGGCATTACCTATTCGTCCTTATGGATTTTGGACATTTGAGCGTCACAACGCTCAGCTTCGTTGGGATCCTCAGATCAGTCAGGTCGCTGGTCGAAGGGATCCTTATGATGATCTTCTTGAGGACAACTACACTCCTCCTTCCTCTTCTTCATCTTCAGACTAATCAAACAATGGTGAGTTTTTTTTATTGTATGGAACCATTTTGATTCAGCATTTGAATATGGCTTTTCTCTAGTATATTATCCTTAGCTGCTTTTGTCTGTCATTAGAAGAATTTGCGTTGGTGTAGATAGTCAGTAGAGGAATTTGCATTGGTTGATTATTGATTATTTTGTCTCTATCAGTAGAGGAATTTGCGTTGGTCGATATATGATTTAACTTTTTGGGTTGGACAAAATGGTCTGAACTTAGTGCTTGCACTTGCGTTCAAATTGAGGGTCTAAGCTATATTGATATTTGATGGTTAACAGTCGTGAATTCTTTGTTCATTACTCGCATTGTGGCGTGGAACTGACGAGCTTGTACATCTATTTCCCGTACATATGTGCTTGGGATCTGCAATCTTTCTTCCTAGTTATCTACATTTTCAGCTTCATTTAAGCATAACTAGCATAGCTGCTTTCAGAAAATGAGACTTGATTTTGATCTGTTTGTTTGTCTGTTGCAGATAGAAGATGTGTTATGCTGTCTGGATGGATATGTCTGTTTTCAAGCTATTTTTTTCTCGGAATTTTACTCTCTTCTGTTTCTGTTTGTTCTTAAGGTGTCTGGGAGCTTGGTACAACCAAAACTCAAATAAAAACTCCGAACTTGTTTACAAACGAGAAAGAAATAATGCTCATTGGTTCTTAGTAAAGTTGTTTTGTTTCTCCATCCCCATCTTTGATACTGATATAGTTTCTCAAAATGTGTTAAATTTTCCATGTTCTTCGAAGTTTTTTTGCTAAATATATCGAAATACATGCATTACATTTTTACACCACCAGAAACACTAGTTCAAAGTTTTGTGATAGAAGAAAAAAGGAGAGTTCCTAAGATCATTTACACACATAACCAAAACCCAACAAACCGAACTTTCCAAAGCAAACAACAAATCACAAAACGTCTCAATCCTACTCCGAATCAGACGACGATTTATTCCCATCAGTAGTATCAGCAGTCTCTCCTTTCTTTCCATCAGTAGTAGACGTCTCTTCTGATTCTCCTCCTTTCTTTCGTGCTGCATCTTCTTTCTCATAAGCCTTAACAATGTCATCAACAGGAACCAATGGAAGATAACCAACCAAAGAATAACCCATCTGAGTCATATCAGTCACCAAATCGTTGTACCGACTAGACAAGTGTGCAGCCACAGGCAAAGCTTTCTCACCCACTGCATGGATTGGTTTGTATTGGTTAAGTTTAGCCCAGACTTTAACCGAGTTGGTCACAACGAAATACTTGTACTCAGTCGCAGCATAGCTAAAAGCAGCTTTGGGACCACCAGTACGAGCCTCTTTCACAAAGCTTTGAGCTTTCTCTGTTGCCTTGTAGATCAATACATGTGCTTGATTCACCACTTGTTTAGCCATTGGAGGAGCATGCTCATCAAACTTATACGAAACTTCACCCACCTAGAAAATTAAATAAAGGTTAGAACTTTAGCGACAAAACTAGCAACAAGTACGATCTGGTTTCTAAATTAGGTCATCAAGATCCAACTAACAATAAATCTATGAAAAGTGAAATTAGGTTACCTTGTGATCTAGAAAGACGAGGAGAGAATCTGGAACATCTTTGAATTTCTGATAAACAGGGGTGACGACGGTGGTGACGGCTCCTTCGACCTTTTCCACGGCGGATTTGAGAGGACCGGAGTTTTGTTTAGCGTAGTCGTAGAGATTTGAGACGGAGGCCAGAATCTGGATCGCTGCAATTCTCACGAACCCTAGGTGTTTCAGCCCAACCTCCTTGATATTTTTCTTCTCTGTCTCCATCTACACCAAAGACGATGAGATCACTTTGATCGTAGATTTGAGTGAAGGAAGAACAAAAGTGATGATAATCTCTTACCTTTTTTTTTGTGAGTTCTTCGATTTGCTTTCTTTGAGAAATTTCGCCTGTCACTGTTCTTTATGACGTTGTGAAACAGCAAAGTATCTTCACATCACGTTGAGGAGTGAGGACTGGTTAAAAATACGAGTGGAATTGGACTTGTCGACGCGATCCAACGGTTGAGATTAGATCTGAGGGTGTTGTGGGGACATCAAAAAACAAATCGTTTTCTAGAAAGGTGTGTCGTGTGTGGATGTTTCAGGATATTTTAGCTGTGGGCTACTTGTGACGAAAATATTCTAGGGGATTCTGGTACGGACACTTGTATACTTTCCATTGAGTAGTAGTGATCGTATAAGCATTAGGTTTTTGGCTTAAAGTTATCGAATGGGTAATTTAAGGATTTACTTTTAATAACTCACAGTAAGTGTCAAAGTTTGATAGTAATACTTTTTGCAACCTTTAATGCAATAAATTGTCTTCCCAAAAGCCATAAGAAATGAGACTTTAAGACAAGCATGAAAATAGTCTGAAAATGCAGAGGAAGAATAAAGCAATAAAAAGCGAGTGTAGAGTAGATAGATAATATCATAACCACTGAGGAAGGTGGTTATATGGTGTCTGATAGAGGTGGTATCTTCAATTAGCTTGAGATTTCTGACGCTTCGAGTACTGCAGAATTGGGTCTCTCACCTGTTAAACAATCACAAGAACCAAAAAAAACATGTCAGTTTCAGCAATATAACTTAAGTTGAAAAACATAGAGAGAGTAATGTGGTTTAGTGTAAGAGACCATGCTGGTTTTCCTGCCACGTCTGTCCTGTGAGGCTTGGCTACAGTTGACTGTCTCGGCCTCCTTAGCAGTCGCTCCATGTACCGCAAAGCTCTCCCTCGAAGCCGCAGGCTGAGTGAGCAACAATTACCAAATTAGGAAACACTTAAAAGAGTCATACAAAGTAGGATATGTCTATCACTCAGTGGTGATTTCATTCTACCTGTGCTTTGTTGCTAATGGGAGTGTTCCCAGCTTTAGAGATGGTCTGTTCACTTAGAACAGAGCCGTTCTGCTGCATTCCACCAGATCTTCCTTTCGTACGTGTGAAGTCTGAACCTATGGAGTGGATTCCTCCACAGGTAGATACATCTGTTTGTTTCAAATATGTCAGATCAATTAAAACAGCTTAAAAAACTTGGGTGAAAAGTGCAAACCAGGAGTGTACCTGCGGTTACTTTGGCCTCTAGGCCGTTCGTCTTGTTAATAGCTTCGTTAACATCCACATCCTGTGAAACCATTCACATTAGAAAGCTGTTCCAAGGATTTATTCTAGTTTTCAAGTATTATTACCATATCATCTGTGTCAAGAACCTTTCTGACTTCATTTAGCTTCCTCTCAGTTAGACTAGAATGAATCACACGCTTCCCTGTTTATAAACATTGCATCAATGAGGAAACAATCACACAACAACCAACAAAACTTAACAGAGAAGGTTCTGAATTGAGGTAGCAAACCTAGCCTGCGGTTGCTCGAAGCTTCCACGTAGCCCTCTTGTGTCATCCTGTCCATCAATTTACGAACTGCAGTCTGATTAGCTTCACCATCCAGCATGTTGTGAAGCTTTGTAATCGTCACATAATTCATCGGAAGAGAATGGTATAGAGCCTAACAAAAAAAGCCAAGTGTCAATCATGGATCTCAGGACCATCTTTATTCATCTATCCTTTGTGCAAGTGTATTAAACATAGAGTATGAAGTCAGAGTCTTCCTCACTTTCATGTACAAGTAGTCTTCAGGAGCTACAGGTTTCCGATCCGTTGGGGCAGTTTGACCATCAGCTTCCTCTTTGACAAAGGTGAATTCGCTCTCTGGTGTCTGCTGAAATATTGGGTTAAGTTGGAAGAAAATAAATCAAAAAGAAAAGGAGAAAATCATAAGTAAATGAGATCAGAGTAGGATTTAGGATGAAAGAATCACCTTGTCTCTCTTTTTAATGTACGTTTCCTTGCCTGTTTTCGAAAGAACACCTTCTGTCACTAGCTGATCCATGATTTCTGAAAGTCAGAATGTGACCAGTTAGTATATAGGAAGACAGACTCTGAAGTTAACAGCAGATAGGTATTATCAAACTGTATTATTCATCATCATATGATGCAGCTTCAAGCGTGTTTTTGCCTACTTATCATCATTAAGCTTGATTTACCTTCAGATAGAACCTGAAATCATAAAAAATAGTGGCTTAGATTTAAGAAATGGCAGAAACTAAATATGCAAGAGCTCAGTTACACTTTCTAAGGTAGAAATGAAGAGTAGCAGCTCATTACTATTGAGATATCTGGGAAGTTTGCAAGAATATCTGTGAGCTCCAGGGTATCGAGGTGACGGGAGTTGATCCAGTCCTTTACCCTTGCTAACTGCTGTTCATTCTCAACCGGATCCTGTGTGTTGTCATCTTGGAGCATGTAACAGATAGGTGAAATTAGAAGAAAGCTTTTCAAACACTGTGAAATCAAAATTTGCGGTAATATTTGTATAATAAGTTACCTTCATCAACCTCTCCATCATCGTCATCTTGTTTCTCTGTTAGATTATTAAGTTAACTCAGGTGAGTGAAAACATTACTAGACTGGCAGAAGCATACAAGGATTTGTTAGTCATCATTACCTACTGGCGCCACAATGAATTGATTTTCTTGTGTTTGACTGATCTGAAAACAACAATGAGCATTACATTTTAGGCACAGTGGAGTGTAATTCACATAGGATGTAAAAAATCTGAGTAAAAATCAGATGAGCAAATATAAGACTTTGTTAACCTCGCTATCTGAATCAGAAGGCTGGTCATCATGTACAGAATCAGGTCCAATACTCTTCCCATCATCTTGCATGTCGTCATTTTCATCCTCACAAGGATCAAGCACGCTCTTGACCTGCACAGATCATCCACAATTGAATTGACATCATAAGACGAGAAACATGTAGAGCGAGTTGCATTATTCTTCAATCAAATTACCTTTAGCGTTAACACGAGATGTTTACTGTTAACATTCCCAATTTCCATCCTCAGAGGATTCTTTGTCCATACATACTGAGCTTCGTCTTCTGTACAGCCTCTGAAGAAAGGTGGCTCATAATCTGGTGGCTGCAAAAAGGTTCAAACTACAGCTTTCAGTCTTTCTTGTGGGCAATAAATTTCTTCAGAGTAGAGAAAAGTGATATAAGATGAATGATACAGACATTATTCCAAAAGAAAGCAAACACTGCTACACTAGTATGCCAACACAACATATTCAAAGCTAATTTGTATGTGTTATAAGTTTGTAGAATCAATCAGTAAATGAGGAAAGTCACATTCACAAAATGCTAATCTAGAAATCAGAGTTATTAGGCGAAAGAAGCTCTACTGAAGTTGCATTGAGATCATAATAAAAATCACCAGGGTTCAGAGAATTGAGGAAGGCTGTAATCATACCGTCACATCATCGTAGTACAGAAGCTTCATCACTATGGTGCGCTGAAACAGAAGCAAAAAAGTAGTAATCTCAGTAATCAGCAATATGGAAACTGATTTCAATGAAATTCCCCTGAAGAGTAGCTACAATATTCCTTACCTCATCTGGCATTTTGTCAAGAGTTCTCATCAGCTGAACTAATGTACGAACCATTTTGCAAGCTGAACTCCTGATTTCAGTACACAATCATGAAAAATTATAAAGCCTGTTACGGAAGATAAATATATATAGACCTCAAAGTAGGAAAGATATATCTCAACACTACACCTCATTTGATTTGGAGTAATGTCAGCAGTGGAGTTAAATGTTCCTCCATTTTTCTTATTGCCAGTACGATTGATATTCATCATGACATCTTGGCTGTCAGAATCTGAATAGCTGAAAGAAACTGCAATAACACAGACTCTTCATCAATCAATAATGGATGTTACATATATAGAGCATGGAAGCTTAATCAAAGCATACACCAATTAATCGCACAATCCACCAGTGAACCACACTTTTTATCAAAGCTAATCAATCATTCGCCAGTACTTACATGCGTATTCCTCAATCATCGGACCATCTACAGTTTCACATATGCAGAACATGAGCGTCTTCAAATATTTCCTCTGAAGCGCATCGTAGACTCCTAGATTCCATGATAAGAAACATAATCACCAAAGATTAACGATGATACAGTTAAAACGAAGCGTTAAATGCCAAAATCGTTAGAATAGAAAACCTTTCTCCATCCAATCAATTAATCGGCGAGATTCAGCGTCCATAGGCATTAGCTTCTTAATCTTCATATCTACAAAAGCATCCGCCAAATATTAGTTTCTATATTTACAGAAATCGAAAATTTAACTTGATTTCTTTAGATCCCAAAGCCAAAGAGCTCTAGAAACTTCCAGATTAGCGTCTCACCTAAAGCAGGAACCGATTTATCGTTGAAATACTTCTCAGGAAAGAGTCCTCTGATATAGCTGATGTTGAATATAGCAATACGAAGCAAATTCCTAGTCTATTTCAACAAAACGAAAACCAAAACAAGGACGTCAGTGTAAACGAGCAACAACTCCAGCTGATTAACGCGCAACAAACATAGAAACAGGTCGCGATTCTTCATAGTAATCGAAAAACTAAGTATAAGAGTACGAGATCTGAAATCCAGATCAATATCTGCGAAAATCACAAGGAAGGAACTAGAAATTTCACGAATCGTTAAGAAACAAAAGCTCGATGATCGGCGTAGCTTACCAGAAGAAGCGAGTCCTGCTCAGTGATCTCTGCTTCCTTCAGCTTCTGAGCCATCACCTGGAGGTAAGAAACAAAACGCAACGCTAAAATCAGACTGAGAGAACTTGAACAAAGCGAAAACTCCACAGACTAAGATGAAGAACGAGCGCGGAGAGGAGAAATTGATGATCGGCGACTTATACTCTCACCATTTTTGCAGAAGTGTGAAACGAAGAACGAGATTCGTCGTCGGAGAAAATCTCAGAGAGAAAGAGAGAAGAGAAAATTTCAAAAAAAAATTGAAAATGGAGAGAAATGGTAGTGTCAGAGTCTCTTTGTGAAATCGTTTGAAGTTTATAGAAATGGAGGAGAATAATCAGTGGCAAAGTTTATATTTAGTGGTGACAGCAGGGGCAAGATCGACTAATTGGTAACGACGCGAAGGATATTTAGGGGCAACGTTGGTATTTGGTGATGAAAGCAAGGGTAATTTCGACCAATTACCTTTAACATCCAGAAGATATTTAGGGGTAACGCTGGTATTTGGTGATGATATTAGGGGTAATATCGTCTACTTTCGTCTAACGTCCTATTTTAGACTGTAGTCACGTACAAGCGCTACCAAAAGTTCGTTGCTCTTGAGTGGACCCTACCCCGATCTTAAATTTTCTAATATATATTTGTTTTTGATTATTTAATGCATAAGATGGAAAATGTTATAGCCCAACCCAGCCCATACATTGTTTTTGGGTTTAGGCCCAATTGCATTTTAAACCAAGTAAAGTTCAAATAACAAAGAACAAATTGAAGTATTGAACCATAGAGTAGACAGTAGAGAGATCAGAAATGGATCACAGAAGGTGAAAAGTCCCATCCCAAGTTGTAGAATCGAGTTAGTGAGAACAACGAGTGTTTGAATACTATGACATGTTTATATTTTTTTTTCCTTTTGTCATCTGCAATTATATTACGAAGCAAGCAAAAAAAAATACATGTTAAGATAATACAAAAGTTGGCGGAAAAATAAAATATTTCTGGAAAAAAAGCTTACAGAGGAAAGCAAAACCTTCAAGAAAAAGTAAAGAAAACAAAATGAAAATATCTTTGGAAACATAGCTCAAAACATGAATACTATTATAAATTTTAAATAAAGTTTCGTTAGATAACAATCTGAACATGAAAAATATGCGTTGTGTTAATCAAACCTATACTTCTTTTGACAAAAATAATAACAATCCAACCTATATTAAAATGAAAGATTTTTTTTTTTTTTTTTTTCATTTGAACTTAACAAAGAGAAAGTTAGAAAGCTTTTCTAATTATGCTTTTAAGTTATTTTTACATGCTATAGTTCCCACTTTAGTTTATACAGTTAGAAAGCTTCAAAAGTCGTTACTAGTTATGATTTATGAAGCTTAGAGTTAGAAACCAATACATTCAGAATCCGATTTAATTAGAAAATTTCAAAACTCGATACATGTATTTCGTAAAATAGAGCATGCACTACTTGAGATCACTAACTTGGTGATGGGTTATATATGTTATGTTCTGGTAAAATGGAAAGAAATCTTAAAGCATTAAAAACGCACATTTTATCTTGTACCATTTATAAGGAAGGCATTAATTGTTCATTTCTTTCCATTTTAACAAATATCAGTCAACAAAAAAAAAGTTTTTAATTGTAATGCAAATCAAATTAAAAGTGGAAAAAGAAAAAAAATTCATAGGGTTTCATTACAATAACCACCCAGATATTTTCGTTGTAGATCTAAAATCATTCTTATCTCTTCGTATATATATATAACCTCTTGGTCTCTCTTCTCTTCATCTATAACCTTTTCTAATCTCTCTTAGTCTACAAGTCGAAATGAGTCTCTTCCCTCTCTCAGTTCTCGGAACCTCTCAACTTCATCATCAACCCAAATCGATGAACGCACCACTATCGTCGGATGCAAGAGGCAAACGTATCCTCATTGATTCGGACGACCGAATCAGTAAACTCCCCGACGACGTGTTGGTCAAGATCCTAGCAACTATGTCCACAGAAGATGCTGTCAAGACAGGTGTGTTGTCTACACGATGGAAGAATGTATGGAAACATGTGCCTTACCTCCACTTCGATATGCTAAATGCTCCCTTGAACAAGAGGAGACCTCTGGCTCCTCTTTCTAATCATGTTGCGAAATCGATAACCAAGGTTCCTCTCTATTAATTTTATGTACTGTTTTCTTTAAGAGTTTCCAATCAAATTAAATGTTCTTTTTATCTATCTCGTTTCCCTTTAAATTTAGACTGATGGTTGAATTGATGATGATTGCATTACATCTTGATTCGTAGAAGAAATGTTAGACACAGACCAATTTGAAATCAAATACACTTGCTTGTATATACGAAAGTTGAAACATGCTTATCTTTGTGGTTAGGTGTTTATATGGTTTAATCTTAAATTCCCACAATAACAAAAGGTTAATCATAACGGTTTTTCGCACGAAAAATTTAAATTTTTGATTTTTTTTAATTAATATATTTGAAGGCGAACATAAATTGTGAATGCATTATTATAATAATTAATGAAAATCTAAAAAGAATATCTTGCCCTATCCTCGTAGCTTAACTTGATATTATTGGTATATATCTTCCACTACTGAATTTAACAATTGATAAATTAAACTCATGTAGTTTCTACAAATCTTTACTATAGATGCTTATGAACATATAAAAGAATTGGCTTTTATTGACAACTTACATTGTATATGTGTATCGTTCTTTTATTAAAATCATTATTTTTCTTTCTTTCTTTCTTAAGGTTATAAACAATCACAATGGTCATCTGATGGGTTGCTCAATCGATCATTTCGCACACCATTGTCAAGACGGTGAGCTCGAAACTTGGGTTCGGTTACTTACCCTTCAGAAACATACCAAAGCCCTCTCACTTTTTAACCTAATTCATCTCCTTCATCTTCATGGTAATGGTAAGAGATCCAATGTCCTTCAATTGTCCCCAAACACATTCTCCCATCCAAGCCTCTCAACACTCTTCCTACATGGATACGATTTAGAAACCCCACATGCCTTCAACGAGTGTAATAATCTCAAGATTCTCAAACTTGAGAGAATCTTTGCTGAGGTTGATGTGTTCAACACAGTTATTGCATCGTGCCCTTCTCTCAAGGTGTTGGTGCTAAATGCCATGTGGTACAACAATAAGGCTTGCTTGAAGATTCATAACAACAATCTTAAAGTCTTGCATTTGGCTTCCTGTAATGTAGATTGCATTGACGTGTCTGCAGCTCTTCTAGATATTTTCTCCGTTTACTACTATATGTTTGGTAGGAAATATAACTTCGTCATCAATGCACCAAGAATTTGGTTTAATAGCTGGACTAAGGACTCTAGGAGAGTGCCATTCATGAACTACAACATTACATCTCATGCTCAGGTACAAGTATACAAGTAATTGTATATATATAGAAAATAGTATTTTCTATATTGTTTAACATGTGTAAATTTTTTATATGAATTGAAGGAGAAAGAAAATCTTGGACATGAGTTCGTGGTGAGTGGAGATGCTAACTATTTTCTGCGGCTCAAGTCTTTGAAGGTGGTCATAGATGTAATGAATTCGAGAGAGGTCCAAATGTTGAGGGACATCTTAGTAACGTGGCATGGAATAATGGAAGAGCTCGATATATTATTTAAGGTAAGTTCATTTTCTTTAATTTTAGTACTTGGATAGATTTGATCAATTTTTCTTTTATCACTTTTTTTTAATTAGTATCTATCAAATCCGACACAACATATTTATATATGTATGTTCATGTATATATATATAGGATAACAATGTCTCTAAGGAAGAGGGCGAATCTTCGATCGGTGGAACACAAGAGAAAAAGTGGGAAGAGACAAAACTGTTTCCCAATGCTGATTTCCGCGTGGAAGTTTTGTGGATGGCTAATTTCAGCGGCTCGAATAAGAAACAGTTTGCATTAGCTTCGCGTTTTGTAACGCAAGGGACAGTAATGAAGAAGATAATGATCAAGACGTCTTCGATTGTTGCAAAGAAGAAGTTAGAGAACGAAGCGGCCGTGGCCAAACTAAAGGAACTTCCAAAGGGTAATGAGAATCTTAGTATTGAATGCTTCTGATGGCATTTGGTTCAAATCTAGTAGAAATAATATTTCTAGTCCTATGTGACAAATCCTGTAGTGAAAAAGACAAAATTTTAAAACATAATGTTCTCGTTTTCTTCTCCCTTATGACATAAAATCTATAGGTTAATATAATATTGAATGCTTTTAATAAGTTTTAATGACAAAAATACCATTTTCTTGCAATGGCTTTTATGAACTTGTGAACTTGTAAGAGACACCAACCGTATTAACCAATTGGTTAGCCTTTCCTGCACATTTATAGTAAAAATGTTAAACCAGTTTTTGCTTCACAAACTAAGGGAAGACATTATGGAAAGTGAGTGAGTAAGTGAGGACACTCACAAGCTTCTAGGTCGAGCATTTGCATGATCATGAAGGTGATGTTGAACCAGCAACAGCAAATGGCTAAACCCAAGCCGTTCTTTTGCCTCCGTCCATGTTTTTTTCAACAGAGGCTCAAACGAAGTCTACACCAATGGAACAAGGAAATCACATAAAGAGAGAGTTATTATGTGTGAAGTTCTGGGCCTCACTCAATTCTCTAATGGCCCAAATCAGAAAATATGTTTCTTAGTGATAGCATCTGGGCCAATTACTAATCAAGCCCAACAGCTACAAATATAGGGAAATTAAAAGGGAAGCTTAGTGCACAAGAAAGAGTGAGCCGTATATTCTAGGTTACAGGTTGTTTCAATGGCAATACAGAGAGGATGGATATTATGTTTGGAGATTAATGATTTTTTTTTTAAAATTTTATAAAGGGTTCTCTGTTTAATGCATAAGAGAACAAGAAATGTTTCAGCCCAGCCCATGCATTGTTTTTGGGTTTAGAGCCTAATTACATCTTAAACCAATCAAAATCCAAATAATAAAGAACAATTATTTTGCAATTAAAAAGTTAGTTTCTAAGGTGATTTCTTCTTCCATATTCTGCACAAATTTCTTTTTTAATTTGACCAGAAAGCATATTTATGCATTAATTGTGGATTTCTTTCCATTTTTATTAGTCAATAAAAAACAAACTTTTTTTAAAAAAGAAGAAAAACTTTAATTAGGGTTTCATTACACCACCCAAAAATTTTCTGTGTCTATAATCCTCCTTATCTCTTCGTAAATAAACATATGGCATATATATAACCAACCTATTATCATCTTTTGTATGTGTACAAGTCAAAATCAGTCTCTCTTCTCTCAAAATCAATCTTTCTCTCTCAAAATTTCTCCATTTCATCATCTATCCAATCCATGAATGCATATCTATCGGTGAATGAAAGAGGTAGACGGATCCTTATCGATCCGGTCGACCGGATTAGTCAACTACCGGACAATGTTTTGGTCATGATCCTCAAACAAATGATAACAGAAGATGCCGTCAGGACAAGTGTCTTGTCTAAACGATGGAAGAGTGTATGGAAGCAAGTGCCTTCTCTCTTTTTCGATATGCGATACTCTTTCTTAAGAAACATGGAACCTTTGCCCTCTCATTCTAATCGTGTTGCCAAAATGATAACCCAGGTTTTTCTCTATTTTCTCTATCTAGAAATCTTTTGGATCTTTGTACTGATGATTGAATTGATGATTATATTACATTTTGATTTGAAGAAGAAAGGTTATACATGGACCAATTTGAATTCAAATACACTTGGATGTATCAATTAATATGAAAACCTTAGATAATTCGAGGCAAACAACAAAAGAGTTCTTATTTCAAACATGTTCATCTTTGTGGTTAGGTGTTTCTTTGAGTTTTTATCTTTAAATCCAGCAATAATAAAACGAAATACTAACGGTATTTCGCGGGCAAAATTTAAATTATTGTTCATCAATATATTTGAAGGTGAGCATATATAGATTGTGAATGCATTATTATAATAGTTAATGAAAATCTAATAAAAAATCTCTTGCTTTATTTACTAAGTTACATGATTTAATTGATAAATATCTTTCAGGTTATTGAATTTAACAATTAATATAGCTTCACATACAAATCTTTATTAGCGAGACTTAAGCACAAGAGTTAAAAGAATTAGCTCTTATTGACAACTTATATTGTATGTGTGTTAATTTGTTTACTAATATCACTAATCTTGTTTCCTTAAAGGTTATAAAGAATCACAATGGTGATCTGATGTTCTGCAGAATCCAACACTATTCACACCAATGTAAAGACGGCGAGCTCGAAACTTTGATTCAATTACTTACTCTTCAGAAACAAACCAGAGCTCTCGCACTTTCAAACATTCATTGTAATTACGGTAAGGGTGCCAATATCCTTCGATTGTCCCCAAACACATTTTCCCATCCGAGGCTCACAACACTCTTCCTACATCGATATGAACTAAAAACCGCAAATGCCTTCAAGACCTGCCATAATCTCAAGATTCTCAAACTTGAGAATATGTTTGCTGAGGTTAATGTGTTCAACACAGTTATTGCATCGTGTCCCTCTCTCAAGGTGCTAGTGCTTCGTCTCATGTGGTACAATGCAAGGGCTTGCTTGAAGATTCATAACAATAATCTAAAGCTCTTGCATGTGGCCTCCTATTATGTTCATAGCATTGAAGTGTCTGCACCTCTTTTAGATATTTTCTCCATGGACTACCTTTTTGATGGGGAATATAACATCATCATCAAGTCCTCAAGACTTTTTTTTACTAAAAACTATGGGGCTATTGACGCGGAGAGAGTACCAACCCTGAATTACAACATTTCATATAATGCTCGGGTACGTACAAGCAATTGCATTATAATTATTTTTTGTTATAAAGATTTATAGATAATGATATTTATATATTGTTTGACATGTTTAAGTTGTTTATATGAATCAAAAGGATATGGAAAATCTTGGGCATCACTTCTTGGTAGGTAGAGATGCTACCTATTTCTGGCGGATTAAATCTTTGGCGGTGGCCGTGGATGTAATGAACACGAAAGAACTTGAAATGTTCAGGCAAGTTTTAGTTGCATGGAATGGAATAATGAAAAGGCTTGATATATTCTTTAAGGTACGAACATTTTATGCTTCATTTTAGTTAGATAGATTCAATGTTTTTCTCGTTTATCACTTCTGTTTATTTAGTTCGTATCAAATCCGAAACATGTTTATGTATGTTCTTGTATATGTAGCATAACTATGTGTATACGGAAGAAGGTGAATCTTCAATTCGTGGAACACAAAAGAAAAAGTGGGAGGAGGAAAACTTGTTTCCCAATGCCAAATTCCGAGTGGAAGCTGTGTGGATGTTTAATTTCAGTGGTTTGGATAAGAATCAGTTTGAATTTGCTTCGCGTTTTATAACGCAAGGGACCGTAATGAAGAAGATGATGATCAAGACGTATTCTGAACCTACCAATAAGTTTTATATAGAAGCGGCCGTTGCCAAACTCATGGAACTTCCAAAGGGTAACGAGAACCTTACTATTGGATACTTCTGATGAAATTTGGTTCGAATCTCATCCTAAATAATATCTCTAGTCCTATATGTGACAAAACCTGTAGTGAAAAAGACAAATTAAATGTTGTTTTCTTCTCTCTTTAGTCTTTATGTATTTTTTGTTTGTTTGATAAAATAAGATGGGAAGACAAAACTATAATTATTATTTTCTCTCTTTATATAATTATTTTTTTCTTTGTGACATAAAATCTTTGGGGTAATTATGAATGCTTTAAATGACAAAATTACTAGTTTCTCCCAATGGCTTATAACAAACTTGTTCGCTCATTTTGCTGGTTGGATATTTGTAAGAAAAACAAAAATCGACCTCTTCGGGTTTCCTTGTCATAATGTCTTACATCTAAAGTGAAAAAAATAATTGTCGACAAAAAAAAAGTGACAACAATAGTTAGCTGTTACTGGTTCAACAAATATGAGAATCATAAGTATGTTGTGATCTCTTATGTGTTAGAACTTAGAAGAGACACTTTCCATTTCTTATAAGTACGCGTACGGGTCTAGACTTTTCACCGGTACAACTATTAAGGCAGGAGAGACGTGATGGTTTTGGTCTTGAATCTTGATGAACATGTCTATTTGCCGAAGCAGTAGAGTGTTCTACTCGAAGTTGGACTTGCCAGAACCATATATAACAGCCTCAATATATGTTTAAGCTATAACTGTTATCATTGGTTTAGAACATTTACTTTCATATGCGAAGAACCAGATGATGTCTTTCTTTTAAAAAAAATCAAAAAATCAAAAAAATCAAAAAAATCTTAAAGCCAATAAAACAATCCAATTTTTCTCTAAAATTTTCTACAGAAAAAAGTTTGTGTTTCATGGGCCGTTAGATTTTCTTAATTAAATATATGACTCAAAAAGGATAATATTTTTTCTCTTATATTTTTTTTTCTAGAAATTTTAGTGGATTTATAATTATTTTTATGTATGTTATATTTTATTTTTATAAGAAAATTACATATAAGATAAAAAAATAACTATTTATGTATGTCCATATAGATAATTTTTTAATTTATATATATAGTAAATATCTAACTTTAATTCAACAGAAAACAAAATATATGTAGAATACTAAAGTTGATTTAAAGCACTTAACCAATCATACAATTTAAAATACTAACCGTTTAAAACCTAGAGCTACATCCATAACACTTAAAGCCAAACTCCTACGGCGGTAAAACGTATAGTTACATATGATACAAATCTCCCACTGAATTGGTGGCATTGATTCACAACAATATGATCTCAAAGTAGAAAGTGATATGAACATTTTTATAATACTTATAAATATCACCAAAAATGTTTTATTTCAAACATGTTGTCTCTGTGTGGTTAGGTACGTATTTATATGGTTTTTAGAAAAAAATTCTTTAATTCACGCAATAATAAAAGATTAATAACGGTATTTCGCGCGCAAAATTTAATTTTTTTTATCAATATATTTGAAGGCGAGCATAGATTGTGAATGCATTATTATAATACTGAAATGAAAATCTAATAAAACAATCTCTTGCTTTATTCACATAGTTAGTTACATAATATTACTGATATATATTAGTTTATTGAATTTAACAATTGATAAACTGTAGCTTCACATACAAATCTTTATTTGTGAGACTTAAACCCAAGATATGAGATACTATTTTCAGAATTAGCTTTTATATATTGACAACTTGTAATTTTTTTTTGGTGATAAACAATCACAATGATCATCTGGTGGGCTGTACAATCCATCATTACGCTTACGCAGACCAGTGTAAAGGCGGCGTGCTCAAAAATTCGATTCGATTACTTACTCTTCAGAACATACCAAAGCTGTCTCACTTGCAAACTTTCATACTAATCGTAAGGGACTCAATCTGCTCCAATTGTCCCCAAACACATTCTCCCATCCAAAGCTCACAACACTCTTCCCAATCCTATATCCCTACGGTTTGAAAAACGTGCATGCCTTCAATCATAATCTCAAGATTCTGCTGAGGTTGATGCATGTGTTCAACACAGTTATTGCATTGTGCCATTCTCTCAAGGTGTTGGTGCTAAATGTCATGTGGTACAACGAAAAGGCTTGCTTGAAGATTCATAACAACAATCTTAAGGTCTTGCATGTGGCTTCCTCTAATGTTGATTGCATAGAAGTGTATGCAGCTCTTCTGGATATTTTCTCCATTCACTATATTTTTTATAGGGAATATAACTTCGTCATCAAGGCACCAAAAATTTTGTTTAATAATTGGACTTAAGGCTTGAAGAGAGTATCAAACATGAATTACAATATTTCTTGTCATGCTGAGATACAAGTAAAGCAATTGCATGTTTGAAATATTGTAGTTCATGTTTGATACTCTCTTCAAGCCTTAAGTCCAATTATTAAACAAAAGTCTTGGTGCCTTAATGACGAAGTTATATTCCCAATAAAAATATAGTGAATGGAGAAAATATCCAAAAGAGTTGCATACACTTCTATGATATCAACATTAGAGGAAGCCACATGCAAGACCTTAAGATTGTTGTTATGAATCTTCAAGCAAGCCCTTTCATTGTACCACATGATATTTAGCACCAACACCTTGATGATAAGAAATATTGTAGTTTATGTTTGATACTCTCTTCAAGCCTTAAGTCCAATTATTAAACAAAAGTCTTGGTGTCTTGATGACGAAGTTATATTCCCTAAATATATAGTAGGAAGCATCATATAACGCATGATTGACGGTTATGAAAATTTGAAAAATCTTTACATACTGAAATTGAAAGAATATATAATCATTTCTAACAATATAATATTCATATATAAAAACTAAAGAATTAAAAAAATCAGGCCAACTAAAAAGTAAGAAAAGGGTAAAATATATACCTTATCATATCTTACCATTATATATATCGAACTCTTATGAATGCATAGTATACTTTATTTTATATTAGCTTCCAAACCTACAAAGTTGACATATAAATAGTTAGAAACATGAACCAGGATGATTGGCCGAATGTACCAAGTAAAAACTATGAGCATAATGTTAGGACTCCATTCCTACAGATCGAGGTTCCCCATATTAGGCACATATTGTGACACAATCAATATCCAGAAGAAGCTATATTAACAATGTCATTGTTTCCTCCTCCAAATTAGAGTTTTGATTTTTCTTGCAGACAGATCACCAATTGTTGTCAATTCCAAAACATCTGTTATGAAAATTACAAAATTGTGAAATGAAATACTTGAAATATGATGGATATAAGAATGTGTGTCTCGTTATTTATAGGAAACTATGTGCTATGTATGTTACAAAATAAAATTAAAACTTATAATAATTTAACTGGTGTTTAATTGATGAATAATTAATATTGTAACAGTTGAACTCATTAAACCCCACTTGTATGCATTCATTTGAAGATTGACCCAAAATTATACATAAGTTTAACTGTTAATAAATATTAATTATCTATTAAAAATGAAATTTCAAGTGTTTCAATAAGGAGAGAGTGAAACTCTAAACTATTGTTGTTATACCTTATACTTTGCCTCTAGCTTCTCAAACACATTTAGTTTCTGTGTTGTGTGATTGAAGAAATTCATTATCTATCTATATCTAAATAGTAGATTATTGAGGTATAACTAATACATGTATTTGACCCAAAAAAAGAAAAAGTAATACATGTGTATATTTGCAACACAAACGTTATATGAGTAACAAACTAATAATTAAAGTATAAAACAGAAAACGTTATATTAGTACTTGAGTAGACCATTAAATTTCAATTACTAAGACCATAATAAGGTTTAATTGAATGGTATATAATCCCAATTTTCTTGCTCTCATGTCTCCCATACTTTAATTGGGTCATTGGACCTTTTTTTTTTTTTAACAAAGTCAATTAAATTTCAACTTCTTTTGAATTCATTACATCTATGACCACCGCCAAAGATTTAAGCCGCTGCACATAGTTTAAAATTCATTAGACTTTTGAATGCTAACTATGTGCATCGGCTTAAAGATGTAATGAATTCAAAAGAAGTTGAAATGCTGAGGAAAATGTTGTTGTGTGGAATGGAATAATGAGAGCTCGATATATTATTCAAGGTAACGTTTTATGCTTCTATTTTAGTTAAATAGATTTAATCAATTGTTTTTTTTTATCACTTTTGTTTAATTACTATCTATCAAATCCAACACATATTTATGTATGTTCTTGTATATATAGCATAACAATGTTTAGTATTGAATGCTTCTGATGAAAGTTGGTTTCGAATCTAGTAGTAAATTATATCTCAAGTCCTATGTGACAAAATCAGTTGTGAAAAAGACAAATTGTAAAACATAATCCATGTCGTTCTCTTCTCCCTTTGTAGGATAATTTTGAATTCTTTAAATGCCAAAACTACCATTTTCTCGCAATTCCTTATAGCAAACTTGTTCTCTCATCTTACCGGTCGGATATTTGTAAAAACAAAAATCGACCCTTTGGGTTTCTTTATGTGAAATTGTCTACATCTAAAGTGACAACAAGAATTAGTTGGTAAGACTAAGAGAGAAGAGAAAAAGAAGGCATATCCTCAATTCTGAAGACATCATCCATCATCAGCTCTTTCTCTAGTTGCCCCCTTGTAGATCTTAGCACATCCTACACCAATACCACCCATCATCATCACCATCACAAGCAATATGTTTTATATATTATGCGGAAACTGACCGACTCACGTTGAATTCCATGTAAGTGGCGTTCTTGTCCAGCCATTGCTTGTCCATTACCACAAAGGCCACACAGTAAAGCAAATCAAAGGCCCATTCGTTTTCTGGAAATTCCAAAAACTTAGTCAAAAATCAAGTAAACCAGAAAGCCATGATCATCATAACCAAATGTTTCCATATTTTACCTGACAACATTTGTAAGAACACCAACCGTATAAAACTCCTAGGCTTTGCTGCATGCACATGTAGTAAGAATGTAAAACAAGCTTTCTTGCTTCACAAGCTAAGAGCTAGATATTAGGGACACTCACATGCTTCTAGGTCAAGCATTTGCATGATCATGAAGGTGATGTTGACGCCCGCTACAGCGAATGGATATTCCCAAGCTGCTCTTTTGCCTCCTTGTTTCTTCAACAGACGCTGAAACGAAGTCTACACCAATGCCACCGGAACAAATATCAAAAAGGTTATGAATCTGTTGAAGTAGAAAGTTATGAAGGTTAAGTTTACCGAGAATGTCTTGGCAAAGAATAGAAGATTCTCCAGTGATATGAATCCAGCTCCTCTGATAACAACAGTTGCAAGAAAACCAAGTTATATAGGCACTATTTGACATGTTCGATTACTCGAGAGAGAAAGAGAGGGCTTAACCTGAAATCAGTGGATGGATCTTTTCCTTGCCATCCCATATTTTTCCACTGGTCTGAGATCAAATCTTGAAGCTTTTCACCGGGATACGTAGCTGACCAGAGTGCTCTCAATGCATCCTGATGATCGGGCCGCGATGCATCAAAGTAATTCTTCATTCTCTTCCTCAACCTCTTCAGTCTTTCTTCCTATGAAAAAAACCAATCAGACTCAGGGAAAAATAAATGCTTTCACTAAAAATCTGATGGTTAGCTGTTGTTTATATTTGTGTTAACCTGCAATGGTGTCAAGTTAGAGCAAATGCGTTCATAAGCTCTCTTGCGGTTAAAGCACACACATGTTAGGCTTTTCTTGATTCTCCAACTAGGCGTGCTACTACAGCTCGCATCCTCTGCATCCGCATTAATCAATCCTATATTAACAAACAAGAACACATTACGATTCTGAGGCCAAAAAAAAAAAAAAAAGATTTTGAGGCTTTAAATCCCTACAAGAACACGATGCCAAGTACCTAAGACCATCTGCAGTGGTGTAAGTGTGAGGGGGTGTAAGATTTTTTTTATTATTATAATTTAAAGTGAGAGAGAAAAGAGAGAGACAGAGAGAGAGTGTCTTACACCCGAGTATAAACTTACACCCGAGTGTGAAGAGAGAGACAATTTTTTTCTTTTTTTAATACCTACACCCGACGACTAACACCCGAACGCTTGCCCCACTGCGGATGGCCTAAGAAAGGTTCCATTAACTGCTTCATAATTAAGCTTTTCTAGAGAATTACATGAAAGCATTTCATACTAAGTAATAACTATAGAACTATAGTAGCTTCCATTGTAATTCAAGAATCAAGCTTCAAAACACACTTGGTCAAGTCATAAGAAAACGAAGGCACCAAGGACATGTAACTTGGCTGCTAGTACATTTCTCATTTGCCCAATCCGTTTTTTTCTTTGGTTTGGTTTCGAATAGAGGTGTCAAGCGGGCCACATGCCCGTGGGCTTGGCTCAAGAAGCATGGAAATTTTTGATTCAGATATTTTTGGTTTATGAGTGTAAACCAAGTAGAACCTATACCATTTGGTCCGGTTGGTATGGCTTCGGGTTTTGAGAATATATTAAAGATTTTCAACAAAGACAAGGGCTTAATAGGGTTTTTTCTACATTTTGTGTTCATAATATGCTCAGATATGGAAAAATATCCAGATCGGTTAAGTATGTTTTCGCTTTCAACTTTTTAATGGTTTTAGTTCGGTTTAAGATTGGTTAAACTTGGATTGGACACTCCACACTCCTGTGACAAGTTACCCCAATAATAGATATAACTATGTGACCCCATTGCCATATAAAGACAATGTGACTACTATTTGAAGTGAGTACCACATCTATTTAGATTCAATTTCCAACAACTGTCAAAATTTGCTCTAGAAGCTGATCTAGACATTTGGGGACCAAACATAAATTCAATTCTACAATTAAATCAAAGGTAGTGTAATTTACTAATTTATTTACCTACTACAATTACGAACATATAGATCTACTGAAGTTGGTTTGAGTCACGTGGCAGACCGATTGAATCAATCACGGATCTCTCAGACCGGCCCGATTAAACTAAAGCCGGTGCAATCCTATGAACCACCGATACGAATTATTTCGCAACTCAAGGGACCCACAAATGGACCAAATTCTTTAGATTATATGATTCAGACACAAAATGAAACCAATGCTCCTTCTAACCCAGACACCTAATAATTGTGCCAAGAACAGTCCCAAAACATCACATCTACAAAAAATAAACCATATAATAAAATACTAATATTTCACTGTGGATAGGTTTCTTTAGTCATCATTATATTTCACTGTAGATAAGTTTCTTTAGTCATCACTATCACCCACGTTAGTGAGTTTCAACTTTCAAGGTCAAACATACTGTTACTCTGCTACAAAATCTACAGTAACATTACTGAAAAATGAAAATGACAGTTAAATTACACACATTTTCCTTTTATCAAGAGACAAAACACAACTTGGATCACTTTATTCACCTAGCTCAGTTTTGTAGTAACGTTTTAAATTTGGAAAATGAAAAAAAATGGAGATTTTTATGTTGGGGAAGTAGTTCTTAAAATGAACAAAATTTTTTTTTTGCATTTTAGATGGGTCTAATTAATCTCACGTTATGAGAACAAACTAATGGAAGATAAAAAAGATTAAATACGGAAAGTTCTAGTGATTTACGGTTCCGATTGATTCGCCGTTACCAAAAATATAATTCCAACAATATCGAAAAAGAAATAAAGAAAAATCTATAAATATCGAAACAGAGTAACACGGCGAAAGAGAGAGAGAACGTACCGGCGGAGGAGGCAGATACGTCGTCGGAATGGGCGTCGCAACCGCGGACAGAGGAGGGAGGTGAGAGATGACGTGTCCCGACGCATGAAATTCTGACAACTCGCATCTTCGTTGAAATGAGATATTTTCTCCGGCAGGTTTTGGCGGAGAGAACGTGCTTGTTTGTTACTCTCTCTTGCAAAGTCAGCTTCGGCGACTGCTACTTATTTATACACAGTTCGTGCCAGTAGCTAGCAAAATGACGCCTATGCCCCTTCATAATCACTCGACACTTTAATACATTCTTCTTGGACCATTTTTTGGTCATTTAGCCTAGCCCAGCAAGTTCGGTTATTCGGCTCGGTTCGAGTTGGTTTAATCGGTTTTCCGGTTCATTCGGATTTTGAAAACTATCCGAAAATGGATCGTCTGCAACATAAACACAAAGAAGACGGAGGAGCAGCTTGGTTCTTTTGTTTCCATTACAAGTTTACAACAATAGGAACTCTCATTTCACACATTACAAAATATAAGTGTCTGAATCAGTGAACCTTAAAGAGAAATCAAAACAGATAGAGCTGAAACTTTAGATGCAATACAAACCTATGTGACTACCTCTGGTTATTAAAAAATGGAAGTTTTAGAGTATATATGCCTATAAATGGATCGTGACACGCAAAGGTAACAAAAGAATCGACTAATTTACAGTATTGGAAGGAAGAAGAATAAAAAGACTTAACCTTGAGAAAAAATGTCATTCTTCAAAGCCACCAATCAGGGACTTTCAACCTCCGGTTTCTATGTACAGCGAGCTTGACATTAGGGATCTTGTGTTTCACCTGTCTCCACAACATGTTTACTGCATCTTCTCTCTTGGGTGGGTACTGGAACTCGAAGTGATGAGATACGTTCTTCAGGCGTTTCCACATTTCCAGCCATTTCTCCTTTGGAAACTGGCGGAGGTTGTTGAGGATGTAGCCCGGTTCAAGTGACTCTTTTATTGAGAAAAAGAGTGAGAATTCTGAGTAGTCTATTTCATCTTCAAAGGGCAGCTCAATTTTGTCGCTTATGATGACCGGAATGCAGTGGCTGACAATGGCATCAAATAGGCGGCATGAAGATGGAGTGTCTCCAGCTGGATGCAGACAGAATTTTGATGATCTCATCCCTTCCGTAGACTGGTAACAAAACAAAACACAAGTAGAACAATTACTATCATTCTGATAGGCCAACATTATATATCTTCCACTATTCTGCTCTAAATCAGACTACAAAGCACGAACTAGCTGATACAAGATCCAAAGATAGAAACCTTAGTTTGTTAAAGAGAACTCATGATTTCTCCGAAGCCTAATAGGGCCCCAAAAGACTCAAACGCCTAAACACATGAAGCACTATCCTATTTATACTCATAGTTGATGAAACAAAACCACATTGGTCTTTCTAGAAACTTATGATTTCTCAAATTTCTGTGCCCTGGACTGAGAATGCTTCGTTACTACATTTCCTTGTCTAAAGATTTCAACTATGTGAACTCTCTGGATGCATATTTAACCCGTATGAATCCTTGCCTAGTGTAACATATTTATATGAAAGGGATAGTTGCTTACCACTTTGATGTTTTGTGTAGTTGCTACACTTTTCTCAAAGTGAACATCAGAGTTACCAGCTAATAACTTCTCCAACCTCAAACGGATTTTACCTTCGTCTTTCCTAACCGTATTCCCACGAAAGTAAAGCAACGTAGTACGAGCCTCAAACGGATCCGTCATACCATCATCACCCTCCTCATTCAAAGACTCAACAACATGTACATAAGGAGAAACCACATCTTTACTTAAACGTGCCATGTCCTTAGAATAACGCCCAAAATCCACAACAATGAGAATCGATGCATTCACTTGTTGCCTCAGAAATCTAAAAGCATTAGGATGTGTCATCGGTATCACATGATCTTTACCTCCTGATCGATTCCAATACTCAGAATTCTCAAGAAACTCCATTAACTCAACCTGATCACACAACAAGAATTTGCAAAATTAGGGTTTTTAGTTCATAGTTCGATCCCCAGAAAGATTCAAAATTTGCAAAAAAGTCAACGAATTTAACATTACCCATCATCCCAAATCACCGGAATTTCAAAAATTTCCGATCAAATCAAAACTTTACCTGTAATTGCCGATCAAATTCAGTATCTGGATCCGTCATGTTCTTCCCATGAGTATTAAAACTCAACGAAGAAAAAAACGGAACATAAAACGCATCCGCCAAATCCGGATCAAAAACCCTAATTGCTTCATTCTCATCACCTCCACCATTAAGAAGAGAAGCCATAAGCCAATACTCAACGCTATGTTGTCTCTTAATCCCAGAAGTCTGAGGCCAAGAAGGTAAATTCTTCCCTGTGATAGGCTCAACATCTGAGCTATGAGGATCCATCATCGCGATATTAAACTTCCGTGGGAGATCGTACATGAAGACACGGAGAGGTTTTCCGGTGGAGCTACAAGGAGAAGCTACATTGGGTTGTGATTGGAGGAGATAGAAATAAGGTCTTGGATCGACTGTTCCCATGTAGATTGAGAAAGAAGCAACGAGGAAGATGAAGAAGACGATTGTGCATATTGTTTTGCCGTACATTTCTTCTTTGAGAGAGATGATACAGAGAAGAAGAAGAAGAAGAAAGTGAGAGATTTAGATCCAACGGTCTCTGTTTTTGGGTTTTTTGTTGTTGTTGCTTATGATGATGAAACGAAACGTCTTGAGTCATTAGACATTTAGGTAGTGAATGGTGACAAGTTAACTGCGGATTTCGAAAAAGAAAATTGAAAACCACACATACAACACCAATCAACATTTATTCTCCATATTTGCGTTTTTATTTTATTTTTTAAAGAAAGCAGATGCGTTTTTCGAAAAGAGATAAATCCCTTTGGACCGCTGTTTAAAACCAGAACATCTTTTTATCATGTGGTTCAACAAAAAACGCAATGGGCTATATACTGTACATTATTATTTTTTATTTTTAATCATTAAAACCATCTATATATGTGTAATATTTTTTTTTAACTTAAATACATATATCTCCTTCTCACAGTATTTTTCCTGTCATAAAGTTTTAAGTAATGTTATACTTTTTATGATCGAATTTTTTTTAATAATTTAGCAATAATTATGTCAAAAGATTTAATATTTTAATTTAAATCAATTTGCATATTTAAGATTCATAAATATATAAAAATGTTTTTTCACTACCACAAAACAATCACTAATTTATGATTATTGTGTACCGCAAACAGTTTTTCACCAATCGAATTTTATTCCGTACCGCTTATATTGTATGAACCGCACTTGTCCCGCAAATATATTTCTCCCGCACGTACCGCAGTTGAACCGCACCGCACTATAAAACCGCTTTTCCCGCACAACCAAATACGCTGTTACCATTCGGACCCTTAATGATTTAATGACTTAACAAAGATTCTTTCAGTTTCAGTCACAAACAAATCCTATACTAATATTTGGGAAGTACATCCTAAGAGTCATAACTTAGATTTTGTAAAAAATTACAATATATGCCATTAGAGATCTCTAATTATAATTATTTTATTCTATTTCACTAATATATATTAACGGGTCAACGGGTCAAATAGGTTTAAAGATATTAAAAGATTTTGTTTATATAATACATAATTAATATAATTCGAGAATGCTATATACTAATCAATTCGAAAATGTAACACAATTAGCAAAAATCCTATACTAATATACTAATACATTATTCGGAAATGTTATTGAAAATGTTATTGAAAATGTTATATAGTAATCCATTATTCGAACATGTTATAAAAAAATGTTATTGAAAATGTTAATGAAAATGATATATCATTGAAAATATTTTATATCAATCCAATTTATAAAAAATGCTATTTTGAATTATAATACTCATATAGTTAATGTTATTGAAAATATTATCCAAAATGTTATATCCTATACTATTATTTGGGGAAGTGCATCTTATAAGTTGTACCGTTAATTTTGTAAGAAATTATAATATATACCATTAGAGATCTCTAATCATAATCATTTTAATTCCATGTCACTAACATTAACAAATTAATTAAAAAACGGGTCAAATAACGAAAAACGGGTTTAAAGATCTTAAAAATATTAGGTTGTTATATTTTGTTTAGATATAAATTCGTATTCAAGCAATTCGTAATCTTTGAGAATATATTAAGTTTCCCTAAAATCTTTGAGAATATATTCAATTTCCTTAAAACCCTTTATAAAAAAAAAATAAGTTATAATAGTTGTTTTATATTCTAGATCGTTTTTTTGTTTAGTTTTACGTTTTTTGTTTAGCTTAATCACGCATGAATATTGTTAGCTATTCAGTTTCCTTAAAATCTTTTCTAAAGATTGTCAAATCTCTCTGTTATATAATTTTGATCCTATATTCCAAATAATCTAGAATATACCTTTCTAAAATATTATCAAACTATTTTATGCAAATTAATATATTTCTGAATCTCCTAATTATCACAAACAATCTACAACTATAAATATCCATTTAGGTTTGACGTACTTTTCTCACAGAAATCATCTCAGCACCATTCTCATATCCTACAATTAAAATACAGCATAAATGGCTATGGTTAGTCGCTACACTCCTATTAACAACTTGAAGCCTGGCAAGATTTTTTGGTGTATTCAAGTTAGTATACTTCATTCGTGGATTCATTTTACAAAAGGTTCTGGCATGTCTTTCGAAATGATTTTAACAGATGAGGCTGTAAGTACCATTGAAATTTTATACAATTCTCTTTGTAATATATGTGCCGTAAGTTTTAAGTCATCTTATTTTAATTACATGGTAACAAAATTCAAGCAGACATCAAAAAGAAACACATCAGCAAATTCCAAAGGTATGTTAATCCGTTTTTTTTCTTTTTTTTTAAACCATGAAACTGGGCTCCACAAACCCAATATAATCCATTAAAAAACTTAGACCCAATACATCTATTTTTTTGTTTGTTCACAATCACACAATAAAATTATCAATACCTATTGAACCAAAGAAATTGTTAATCTCATATAAAAAAAAAACAAAACTAATGCTGCTAAATATATTAAATTCTAAAATACAATATTTTCTCCTTCTTTAGTCAAATAAAATATATAACATTATATCCAAATAGTAATAATATAAAATATTATGATATATTCTCTTTTATATTATACTATTATACTATATTATTTCTTATTTCTTCGAACAAAATATATAATTTAATTCATGAAAAATACTAAATCCCGTGCTGTATAGCACGGGTCATGATCTAGTCTACTGTATTTAGTAGTAGTTTTTTTTTTCATTTTTTTTTTCTTTTAAACCCAACATAAATTGATATTTCAAGAAATTGCACATTCACTTTAGAAGTTTAAAAGATTAGGTAATTGCAGAGTACAATTTTAAAAAATAGCATATTATATAGTAAATGATCACTATAATAGAAACTAAGCATACCTCTTGGTTCAAAGAGTTTGTGTACACTATACTTTGAAGAACAATGAATTCTGCCAACTCCAAACTCAAATAGAGATTAATGTTTAGTTGTACGGTTCAACATTGAAAGCCTAAGTCAGTGTTGGTTTATAGCCGGTTTGCACCCATGATTTGGTAGCATACCGAACCGGTTTAGTTTTGAGGAAGTTATTTCTCAATAGATACTAAAACCATTTGTGTCTCTTTAATTATGACATTAGTGTCTCTATGTGGCTTCTCTTCATTTTCCTATAAAAGGATGATTGTAGAGAGACATAAATAATAACGGTGTCCATTGACACAAAGAGAATTCTAGAGAGAGAGAAAAACGTTTTAGAAATAAAACCTTAGAGAGATCAACCGGAAGGGCATTTGAGCGGTGGTTTGTGGTTGATTTCCGTTCGTGATCTCAACCTCGATCTCTGCGTCGATTCCGTAAAAAAATCATCACTAAACCGGTTAAGATATGTGTTCTGGTTTAACGCTTCCGCATAATAAAATAACAGTCAGGATAATAGTTCGAATTATTAGAGAGTCCATAAGAAGCCCAAAAAGAGTCTCATGAGGAATCCACAAGCCCATGTAATTAGGTTATCCACAAACCTAGAGAGTTGCCACATTGAGTAACTCTTCTCTTTTCCATTTTATGAGATCAAATCTAAAGTCTTAGTATTCTTGGTGACAACTGACAACCTAAGTTCTTCTTCTCTTTACATTTATGTTTAATAAAGCTCCAATGAGCTATTGCATTTTCAATCTCTTTTAGTAGCTAGAATAAGCTTGTTTTGAGAATCTCTTCACGAATCACCATTTTTGCAGCTCTTGTTCTTATTTGATTGTAGTCAATTGAAATAATTTCTATGGATTTGTTTTGGTTTTCAGTTTTGTTTCCAAAAATTGATTATTGACAATCCAATTTTAATTTGTTCACACGTTTGGAATTTAGGTCTTTTTTTTTTTGTCAACAAATTTAGGTCTTTGAACATATGTTATTTTATGCGGGATTGTGAGCATTTAGTTTTCACTTTTTTTTTTTGTTTAACATCTGTTTTGTTGCAATATTTCATATATTTATTAATTTCTGTCAATTTTGAATCTCGGAACTTCGATGTGATTTTAATTTTTTGGCAACAATAGTTATATAGTGTTGGTATGAAAAATGGTTTCTAAGAATAAATAAAAATGGAACATGGTTTTTGCATACAATCGACATTCATACAAGCAGTTCAATTTGTGGATAATATTATATCTACTTAGAAATAAATTCTTTCAAGAAGAACAACATGTAATGATGATCAGAATCGAATTAGCTAGCGGATGAGTCAATATGAGAGAAGACGATCTGCCAAAAGTTTGAGAACTGCATCATGCGCCATGTTTGGTTATATTCGTTGTAAAAACAGATCAGTCTTAAGACTCGAAATGACATGTGCTTGTCTCAAAGAATAATAAACTCCGATACATCGGAAGTTTATCATCGGAAAAGAGAGAAGAAGAAGAAGCTGTAACAAACTTTATTCAATCTCAAAACTCTGTTTACAACAACTTAACTCTCTAATAACAACGTCATTAAGCTTATATACATAAGATTAAACCAAGATCAATAACCGGAAATAACCAACTGTAAACCGGTCCATATATCTCCAATATACCCCCCTCAAGTCTCTACTTTCGAACTGTCTGGTTTGGAAGATAGAGACTTGACAGAGACATTTGCTGTAGAAGATGATGGAATGGACCTGGATGGAGAGCCTTAGTGAGAATATCAGCGTGTTGATTCTCTGTTGGAACATGTAAGGCCTTGAGATTTCCAGCTTTAATCTGATCACGAACCGTATGACAATCGATTTCTATGTGTTTGGTACGTTCATGGAAGACAGGATTCATAGAAATATGAAGAGCTGACTTATTATCACAGAATAGCTTTGCAGGACATGTCACCTTGATGTGCAAATCTTTGAGTAATTGCTGAAGCCAAATGATTTCACAAGTAGCTTGAGCCATACTCCGATATTCAGACTCTGTACTACTCCGGCTAGCTACTGCTTGCTTCTTAGACTTCCAAGAAATGAGTGAAGTTCCAAGATAAATGCAGAATCCTGTAATGGATCTCCTTGTGTCTTTACATGCAGCCCAGTCAGC